TTTTTTACGGTTATAGCGTGCACTAATTGGACCTCCAAGGCTCTCAGCTTTATACACTGTATATGGAGGAAGAAAATCACCATCAGCAGTACATGCAAACATTGTAGATACTGATGACTTTGATGTATTTATAACTCTTTCAGCATGTTTAGTACCTTTCCGGAATATCATTTGTTTTGATTTATAGTCATCAGAAAGATTAGTTTCATCATAGTTTATTATGTTATGAGGTAGAACATTTTTTATTGTATCTTCTAGGTTGTTAAAAAATCTATTTACAGAGTCAGATGAAATTGCAGCACACTTTTTACAAATATTTTGACATGCTCAATAAGACAAAAGACTTTCATGCCGCTCTAAAAATAATCTTACCCAATCATCATCAGGCAAATTTTCTTTAAAATACGGGCAGTCTCTTCCAGATTTGTTAAGAAAACTTTGTACAAATAATTTGAGGTCTATTTTATTAAATGCGTAGCCAAAATTACTAAAAGTTGCAATGTATTGTGCAATGGACATCTCCTCGTCTGGTAGCAAAAAACTCTTTTGACTAACCACACTATTTTTCGTAAACCACTAATATGACACCTTAAAGTTTTGTATGGTATGTTTAGCAGCTTTGCCACACGTTTACAAGGTTTTCCACCATTTACAAGCTCGATAGCTCTTTTAATTTCAATTTCTGAGTAAGTTTTAGACTGTTTTTGAGTTGATTTTAAATAGTTTCTCACCATTTTCACAAATCTGTTATAAAAAAGTGAAAAATATGAGCTAAAAACTCAAACTATTTGTATCTTTAAATATTAATTTTATTATCAAAAATATTATACGAATAAATAACAGTAAATTCAAAAGGTGCTCATTTACCCCATATAAAAGTGCTCAATTACCCCACATTACTTTAAACAACTATATTTTATGAACAGTTCATTTATAAGACTAAAAAATTGTACGAGTTTTTTTAAATATATGTAAGGTGTACTGAAGAAAAATTCAAAATTCTAAGAAAGTTTTAACTATAAATGCTTATTTCTTAGTGTTTCCAGTTGATAGTTTTTACGGAATTCTATGAATCTACACCGTCATCTAGTTACTTGTTATCGGTTATTTATTTTCTTCTAAAAGAGTTATAATTAAGAACTTATATTTTCCTTAAGTTAATTTATGTATTTTTAACTTGAAAATGAACTAAGCATTAATACTAAACCTTTTATTTGTCTTTTAAACAGAATATGTTAATGGGTGCGCGATTGATGCATGAAGTGCTCGATGACCCCTCGCTACGATAAATATTATAAGGGTTTAGATAAATTAAATAAGTCTGTTAAGTTAAGTAAGTCTGAAATAGAAAAACTCAAGTTTTCTTTATATGCTCATTCAGGTTAGTATCACTTTTTTAACGATGGAAATTGTTTAGAGGGATTTTAATATTATTTCTTTTTTATATGTGTTTTTTTTGCTTTAAAAATTTCAGCTTTTACGGAACGATTAAGAAGATAGCAGTTTATTTTTAGTTTATTATTCTTTGATTTAGTTGAGAAATTGATACACCAAGCGGATTTTTTTATTTATTTCGGATTAGGTTTTTAATATGTGGAGTAGTCCAAGAGTTATATTTTTTCTTTGTTTTATTCACCTTGACCGATAAAATATTCGCACACTGTACAATTGTAACAAATTAATAAACTAAACATTTAACCCGCAGTTTTATGCAGAAATAAAACACTTTAGTTGATTGATCCAATAAATTTTGATAGTGACTCATAATCACATTTGCTTTAATTAAACAGCTGAGATTCATTTTCAGGAAACGGTTTTGAAACTAAAATTTCTCAAGTTATATGAAAGTGGTCTAAAGTATTATTACCTAATATTTCACTTGGAAACAATTTTAAAATAGAATTACTGCTGTAGGTAAATAACAAATCCAACATATGGTTTGAGAAATCATAGGGCGTCTGGACGTAGGCAATGTGATACATTTAAATTACTGACAATGAAGCAGCCATCATAGGGCTTCCTAATAAAGTCATAACTAGTTATCGGTTATCTTTTAGTACTGATACCCTTTGATGCCTTTGAAGATATATATATATATATATATATATATATATATATATATATATATATATATATATATATATATATATATATATATATATATATATATATATATATATATATATATATATATATATATATATAGCAGGTTTTTAATAGTGAATAATTTCCTTCTCGTGTTTAAGTTTTTCTTGTTGTGGTTGTTGTTTTTTGTTTCTTCATCTTTTTATAGTTATATCTTTTTCTTAAGAAACTTCTTTTGCTTAAGAAATATTTTTTAATAGATGTTTAATAGGCTATTCAATTTAATAGGTCAAATATTTCCCGTGAAAGATGACAAGGAAATAACTAGTTTTACAGAATTTGTGAAACGCAGTTTACAGCAAGATACAGTCATAGCATCAGGTGAGGCATCAAAGGGTATCAGTACTAAAAGATAAGCGATAACTAGTTATGACTTTTTTGTTGATGATGGTATTAAAAAGATTGTATATGCTTCCACTAGCGCATTAAATGCAGTTAACCTGATTCAGTTACAATTTGAAGATGGCAAGCAAGCATCACCAAGTACAACTACGTCTATGACAAAGATTTAACAAATAACAAGTTCTAGCAAAGGATTTTTTGGTAAATGGACCCTTAATCTTTCAACAAATGCAATTGCCCCTCCTAATTCACCGTTTAAACTAAAATGTTATGGTAAGTAATTGTTTTAAGACGTTTTATTTATATTTAAATGTGATTAATATTTTTCTAAATTTTAAAGTCTTACTATAAATGGATCAAATTTTGAACGTCTCTTGGAGTCTTGAAACCTAAAACTACTTTTATGGTTCCCATGTTTGCTGGAAATATGTTCACCGCTAATACTGTTACCTAATACTGTTGATGCTCAAGTTATGGTTTTCAACTTTGACAATGAAGAGTCAATTACTTTTACTTTAAAAGCAAAGCAAAGTTTATGTTGCTGGTGAAATAGGAAGTATTATAAACTTTGACTATTAGAAAGTAACATAAACTTTGACTATTAGAAAAAATGTATTTTAATTCAAATTTAACCTACTAAGCGAATCAAGTCTTGTTGGAACAACAGCGCGAATCATAGTTAGTGCTCAACGTGATGTTTCAAAAGAAGAATTTTTTGAAACATCACGTTGTGTAATAATTGTTTAAAAAACATAATTTAGTGTATTAATTGTTTAAAAGCTTGTTATGTTTATTTTTGACATTATTACGCTATTAATCTTTTATGTTATCTATTATTTGTAAAAAATAAAAAAATAATTTAATTTTCTCGGTTCAGAAAAATGATTTACATAATCGAGGTGTGCCGTTTACAAATGATTTACTTAGCCGAGGTATGTCGTTTAAATATGATATGCTAAGCCGAGGTGTTCGGTTTAAAAACAGTTGTGTAGAACTACAATTTATTTAAGAAACTTTGCATCATATAACTACCGGATATAATATATATATATATATATATATATATATATATATATATATATATATATATATATATATATATATATAATAACCTCGACGGCTATAACAATTATTGTTCTAGCCGTTAAAATAGCGACTTTTTGAAATGTGGTTTGAAAGCTGTAATTTAAGTGGATTGCTCTTCTAAAAGTTAACTAAATAGTTTTTTAACAATTGTTCAAATTCTCAAAAACCGTAACAAAAAAAAATCATGATGAAGGTAAAATAATATTTACTTCTGTATCTTATTGATGTAAATACCAAAATTTTTAACTTTTACTACTATCTGCTTGAACCTTAACTTTTTGCTTTCCGTTTTATATGCTAAGATTGCTTGGTGCAGCTTTAATATTTTATGATTTTAAGGCTGGCTGGTAGTTAGGTTTCCCGACTTCTTTGAAAGTTCTTAGAGTCGCTGATTCCATCAACAGCTGTAAATTACTGTAAAGTACTAAGAGTTTTGTATTTGGATTGTTGAGGCCACATTTGCTACCAAAAACTATATAATACAAAAAACCATCTTCATCACCAAGTTCTTTAAATCATATTTTAGATTTTGTTACTTCACCTAGAGACAAATTGTAATTGTTTGCTAAGAACTTTTCATCAAAGAAAACTAAAAAACTTTTGAATTTTTATAACCATTTAGATCACTGCTACCTTCGATCAGGTAGTTTAATGTATCTGAATAAAAAATAATCAGTCGGTGTTTTAAACCTACTCTTCAGGTAACCAACCATCTGTTAGGATTATTGAATAACTCATTTCAATACCTTCAATCAAAAGTTATTGTTTTTTTAAATTGTCTTACTTTAAGTTCTTTGATTTTTTCAGTGGTATTTAGTATACACTCAATAAAATTTCCCATCGCAGAAAACACACTAACAATTAACTCCTTTTTTTCCAGAAATACGCTAATATTGCTTAAATTCATTTTCATTTTAATAATTATCATCTTAAATATTGCTTAAATTCATTTTCATTTTAATAATTATCATCTTAAATATTGCTTAAATTCATTTTCATTTTAATAATTATCATCTTAAATATTGCTTAAATTCATTTTCATTTTAATAATTATCATCTTAAATATTGCTTAAATTCATTTTCATTTTAATAATTATCATCTTAAATATTGCTTAAATTCATTTTCATTTTAATAATTATCATCTTAAATATTGCTTAAATTCATTTTCATTTTAATAATTATCATAATCCATTATGTTTTAGTATAAGAATAATCTAGAAACTTTGTATAATTAAATAAACTGTGTATATTAAATGAAGCGCTAAAAATTTAATAAACTGTGTATATTAAATGAAGTGCTAAAAATTTAAATTAAACTCTTTCTGAAAGTAAGATATTAAATATTAATTTGCATTAACACCGTGAGCAACATTATTAAACCGATTTCATTATTAATAGTATATAATTATTATTATTAATTTTACTATTTTTAAAAAGGATTTTATTGCTTATAATTAAAGTTACAGTTTGCATTATTTTAAAAATAATTATTAACAATTAAGTTAAACTTTAACACTTTTCATCCATATTCATGTTTTCTACGACATCTTTTTCTTTGCAAGTAATTTCAACATTTTTTCTGTAGTTAAACTCAGCAATACTGTAAAGTACCATACTAAAAATTATGAGACCCATCAAAATGTAGATTTTTGTGGAAGTACATAATACGTCTGCGTATGCAAACGAAACTGTGAAGCCCAAATTTTGAAAAAGACGGTAAATTGAAAACGCAGCTTCTTGTGTTTTGGGAAAGTATACCCCATAAATTGCTAAACAAACAAAAATATTAAAAAATATTTTAACAACGTATTTTATTCAATAATTAGTTTTTGGAAGTTATTTAAAACCTTTTTTTTAAACTCTCACATATTTTAATATACATAAATACATTTTTAATTTTAAATATATAAAATTGTAACAAGGCAAAACAATTATATAAAAAGACAAATAAAGTTACCATTGGATTGAGACATCCATATTGCAGTTGTAAAACCGCAGCCCATAGCACCAACATAAAAAGTGTAGTTAGGATATACTTCAGTGTTCCAGACAAGAAACCATGACATTAGGCCCAAATATAAAAACGTTCCTGCAACCATCACTAAGTATGTTCCAGTCCACTTTACAATTAATCCAATAGCAACAGAAACTAAACACGCTACAGCGCCAAAACACATCATGCTATAACCAATGGCATCGATTCCAAGAGAACAAGAAACAAATGTCTAAACAATTTTTCATAGTGTTTTCAATGATTAATCCAGAATTAAACTTTATGTACTTAAACAATCAATAGAATTTATATTCATATGGTAATTTATTAAAAACATAAACAACACGAGTAGAAATCATACCTTTGTATAATCACCATACACAAACGCTTGGTCCATTCCACTAAATATGGTAATTGGAACTAGTAATAAAATCATTGGGCTTTTTACGTGTTTAATTGTTGAAAAGCATAAATTCATCAAAGATTGCTCGTTTCTTGTCTCTTCCCACAATGCATCCAAAAATACTATAACCAATAATATACCAACAAGACTTAATCCAAGAAGAATACCCATAAGTTTGTAAACTGTGTCTATAGGAATAGCTTGAACATTTGCAACCAGACTAGCTGATGGACAGTACCTGTATCCACAGCTTATACTTGTATTAAAAGTACTAACATTTCCTTGTAAAAAAAATATCGAAATATTGTAAATACCTATTTATTTTCTAAACAGGTATTTATAAATATTATGATAAAAATGTTTATAAATGTTATTTGTTTTGAATTTTAATTTTAAGTAATATTTTAATATTGCTTAAAATCAAAATTCAAAACAAATAAACTAGATTAAATTAACTAGATTAAACTAACTAGATTAAACTAACTAGATTAAACTAACTAGATTAAACTAACTAGATTGAACAATTTATCTGATTATTTGATATTCTATATAATTACTTGAAAAATAGTTTTAATGGTTTCTTATTAACAGTGATAACAATGTTTTAATAAAAGTGATGAAGATAATGAACAGAACAATAAGTTTTAATTAAATTTTAACATTTATTTTTATATTACGATTTCATTATATGATAAAATTTACTTTTAATTTTTAATTTTTAATTTTATTATTTTGATATAGAAATTAAACAACTAAATATTTAACTTGTTAAAAGTAAGTAAAATAGTGAAAACCACAATAAATTCGTATGTATGCAATATTTGCATACATATAAATTTATATTGAACGTTTCAAACTCTGCCTTTTCATAATAATTCTGTATTAAAATTGTGTGGTATGTTAACCAGCTAGCAGACATATATTGGGCCAATACCTGTAAAACTATTGCAAGCGTTGGCTGCTTTTTCACAATGTCATATATTAAGCAATGACATCAATAAAGAGATTAATACCAATCCAATAAAAAAACAGCTTGCACAATTACATTTTTCCGACGTATGTAAAAGCATTGCAAAAGTTTATTATTTTACAATCTAAACCCAAAGTTGATACAATGTGTATACTCCGACGTTTTTCAACGCATATGTATTGACGTTGACCCAATGTATACATCCCAACTAGAGCCATTAATGTGTCAGATCCAGATCTAACTTTTTACAAAAATAACTTCTTACATTTACAAAAATAAATTCTTATTAACTATTATGCATATATGTTAATAAAAACAAACAACTTAACCAAACGGATTGGATCTTATAGTACTAGACCCGTTATACCCAGATCCAACCAACATTTTTATAAATAATGCCATTCATTTTTAATTTACAAAAATAAATTCTTATTAACTATTATGCATATATGTTAATAAAAACAAACAACTTTTATTGATCATAGTCTTGAAGTCGAGAGGTCTGAGATTCGATTCCTGCTTTGAGCATATTTGCAACATTTTTGAGGAAAGAGGTGTATAATTTCTAGATAAATTGGGTTCTTCTTGGAGCAAATCAAATTAAAACTACAATTTATGAGGAAGAAAAAGCTACATTATATGAAGAAGACACATATTGCTTTTGATGCCCTAAACTAGATTATTTGTGATGCTCCTAGATAAATAATCTATCGGAAACTCACTCCTTATTGACTTTTTTTATAGCGTTAGATCTGCTTTATGTTTTAGAACTTTTTTTATAGCGTTAGAACTGCTTTATGTTTTATGTATTTTCATCATTGAAAGCTGAGAAAAATTAAATCAATTACACCTTAACTGTTTACAACTATGATGAAAAATGCACTCAATACCCGATATCCAGTTATGCTACGCACTGTTTTTGTTCTCGTTTTTTCATGACCTTGGTGGGTCTGGCAGTCCCAGAACAAAAAGTAAATTAGGTAAGATTCAGGTAGGTTCTTTTAATACCTAAGACCCATATATACAAATTGTCTCTGGGTCAGTGGATTCCCAACCTAGACCTGACCCATCAACAACCCTAATCACAACGTTGCGAGTGCAAGTTTATATAACTTAAATAAAATACTTTTTAAATCTTAAAATAATAAAACCAAATGTAAAACAAACATGATTTATGTTAATTAAAGTGTAGTAATGAAACAAACATGATTTATGTTAATTAAAGTGTAGTAATGAAACAAACATGATTTATGTTAATTAAAGTGTAGTAATTAAACAAACATGATTTATGTTAATTAAAGTGTAGGTATAAATGCAACCATTAAATCTTAAAATAATAAAACCACAGGTAAAACAAACACGATTTATGTTAATTAAAGTGTAGGTATTAAACTCAAAAAACCGTACAACCTATAGCAGTATAGTTTACCTATCAATATAGTGTGATTACAAAATTAGATCATTAAAAAAAAAAAAAGATTCAAAAAAACTTTAATTCAATGATACACATCTACAATTTTATGGTGCTTTTGATGCAGCTCAATATCTATAATTGCACCTTATTCTTTGTTGAAACTAAACTCAAAAAACCGTATAAACTATAGCAGTATAGTTTACCAATCAATAAAGCGTGATTACAAAATTAGATCATTAAAAAAAAAAGATTCAAAAAAATTTTAATTCAATGATGCACATGTATTTTTTTGAGGAATAACTTTCAAAATGTTTCAAAACGTAGAAAATAAGACGTTTTACTAGAAAAATGCAAAATATAGCCATAACTAATTTTTTTTCAAAAATAAATGCAAGTGTTCTAATTAACCCAGTAAATATAGACTGGTTCAGAATTGGTCAATCTTTAGTCGAAATCGGTCGAAAATGGACAAAACGTTTAGCGACCTATTATTGACAAAAAATCGACGCTTGATTTGAAATGTATATTTCAAACTTTTTTAAATATGCGATTACTAAACGTCGATCTAACGTTTAAAATATCGACTTAAATTAGTCAATATTGTAGACCTTTAATTGACCAAAATTAAACGTAAAAATTAATAGATTTAAAATCTTAAATTTTTTAATATATACGTTTATTAAACGTCGATTAAACGTTTACAATATTGACTATTATAAATTATTATTCTAAACGTTTAATCGACGTTTAATAAACGTTTAATAAATTATAATAATAATATAATAATCGCTATATTACTATACTAAATATTATAACAATCGCTAATAATATATGATAATATTATATTAATCGCTATATTACTATATTATATAGCAATATAGCGATTGATCATAAGACTCTCATAGAGCTTAAGTAGCACGGTTTAAATAGGCATAATTAAAATGAAATAAAAAATTAATTAAAAAATTATTTTTTTATTAGCTAAATAATTAAATTAGACTTAAAATGCGTTTTCAAGATTCACTTCCTTACAACAACTGAAAGCAAAATGACTAATCAATGATATATTATACTTGCAGAGGTGCCCGTATCGCTGGGCACCGGCAAAATAAATCAAAGTTGCAGGTGTACAAAGAAAACCAAACCTCTAAAAATCAATTACTTGACTAAAAAACTCTCAATCCTGGGTACTTTAAAAAAACCTCTGCAGAGCCTCTTGGTACATAACACTAAAAGTTCTTCCATCTGGGGATTTTATACACACCATACACACATAATTTTATAAATAACACATAATACTCATTTGAAAAGAACAATGCCTCTTTACCAAGTTGACCACCACAAAATAAAAGTACCAAAAATGAACTAGTTATCACCAAAAAACAATATTTCCCACCCGTTCCCCGGGAACAACATGCAAAGAGCAAACTGAACCCCCGAACTGACTCCCAGAACTGCAACCCCGCAAATAATGTTTTCACCTCAGCAACCCGGTAAAAACTGAGCTAAATGCGATCTCTGGTGATCCACCTACATCCCCATAAAAGGTTTTAGACGGAGCCAAAGAGCAACATCGATCACTCTGAAAAGCTACCAAATGCTCTAGGAGGTGATGGATATTAATATACAGTTTGTTATAACTAAACTTGACTTATTAGTTTTAGAAAAGACAGCGCACCCTACGATAACATTCACTGATAAAAATATGAAAAAATCGACTAATATTTCTAAAAGCAACCTTCACAAAAGCCCCTCGTATGTGTTTATTTTTTTGACTTTTTAACAAAATATGATATTTTCATAAAGTTCAACAACTTTTTAATTATTCATATTTTAGTCATTTTTGTTGAAAATTTAGCGTTCCCTCTAACAAGACATGTTTTATTTTTATTTATAAATTTAGATTCCGATGCCCTATAAAATTCCCTACAAAAATAAACTGCCCTTACTTTTAAAACAAGAAAAAAAGCAACACACTTTATTGTAAAATTCTTTGTCTAAAATATGAAAAAAGTGCCTGATTTTTGTAAAAACACCCTTCACAAAAACTTTATTTCTGTGTTTATTTTTACAACTTTTTGAATCAAACTATCAGTTTTCTTAAAATTCTCGTTGATCAAATTTTTTTTTTTTCTAATAATAGTTTTACATTGTTAATTAGTCACATTTTAGTCATTTTTCTATTCAATACAATGCTCACTCATCCAGCAAGATATTATTTTTTTAAAATTTTTTTGTAGATTGGGAATCTCCTTAAAGTTCAATACTAAAAGAAAGCTTGCCGTTTTTGAAATTGATAAAAAAAAAAAAAAAAAAAAAAAATCGACGCACCTTACTAACAATGGCTTTTATTTTTGCAACTAAAACATTATAACACATATTGTTTTTATTATTTTACTCTTCATTTAGTTTTTTATTGATGCAATTTAATATTTTATTATTAATTTGATAATAGTAATGCTTGCTTCATATATATTCAGTGAAATAATAAACTGAACGTTAGGGATTGCCGAAATTTAGAAATATTCATTAAGGTTTTTGATATTGCGACAGATTTTTTTTTAATATTTTTTTGTTTTTTTCTGTTTTGTTCTCTGAACTTCTTTTAAATAATTATTTCTACAATTAGTTAATCTTATTGTTATCTCAGTTAATCTTATCGTTTTTTATAACTTTGAAAGAATAATTAACCTAATACAAATCTGCTAAATTAATGTAATAGTTGTTTTAATAAAAACCAATTCCTTTTATTCAGTAGGTAACAGCAATTAATTTGAGTATATTGAATGGTTATGTAAAGTTTTTTCAAATGTTATTGACTTAAACGACACTTTTTTTTTTTTTTTACTTAAACGACACTTAAACTAAAGAGTAAAAAAAAAATTCAAAAGTGGTTT